CGAAAAAATAGATTTTTCATATGTTTTACTAATTGATCGGCAAAAATTGCGTAGACTTTTGTCCAGTGAGTGTATATGCCGAATCACTATTTAATAATCCGATAGACGAAGCTGAAGTATTTGATCCTATGACTCAAGTATATCGCGATTGTCTCTTTGGTAATGAAGTATTCTATGCTAAGAATGTAGGCTTTCGATCAAAGGACCATGTAATATCTTTGGTAGAAACAGAAAAAAAGGCTATATGTCCTATTAACGATAAGAGATGGGTATTATCAGATAAAATTTCAAATTTAGCATAAGGTCATTGGCGTATACAAGCATATAAAAAATTTATATCAAATGGAATATCTCCAGAGTTGGCCGAAAAAAGAGCTTTAAGGGTTAAGCTTAAGCCTGAGATTGAATCTTTAATCGAAGAACATATAGCATAAGGGCAAAGCCCCATGACCTTCGGACCTGCGAAGCAATAAAAAAGCGAGATATTTATTTTATATTTATTAATTTTTTTATGTATATCGTTATAGTACAAAATGACAGGTAATAAATATACAGATACGGATACAAATGCCCCTACTATGGCAGAAGAATGTTATAATATATCGAGAAAAAAATCTCATTATTTTAAATTGCAAAAACAGCTTATAATCCGATGATATGCTTGAGCTTAGGCGGGAAATAGACGATATTAAAAAGAACTTATCACGAAGCCAGACTATTACAGTTAAAGTTCGGAAAAAGAAAAGTAGGCTCGAAGAGCCATTGCTCCGCAATAGTTAACACATTTAAGATCTAGCATCTAGATAACGACATACTTCTTGGTAATTAAATATCGCCTTGGTTTCGCCACTCCTGTAAGCATCCTTTCTTAACGAATTATATCTGGTTTATCCCGGCATTGGTCCTAGATTTTGTTCTAATCGAGTAATGTATATACCAGTATAACAAGCTCATACAACTATAACAAATAATAATTGCGATTTTATATTTATAGATCTACGTTATATCAACTATCCGTGGCATTGGTTCTTTACGTCTCGTACGACCCACACGATATACAATATGTTATTGATGGGTCCGTATCATTTCACCGAAAATTATTTCACCGACGTAATATTTCACCGACAATCATTTCACCGACAATCATTT